ACAGGGGAAAACGGTAAGCGGATTACGATACGTCGCATTGTTCAACGGGAACACTCAAATTGCTCGGTCTCTCAAATAACTGAAAAATCCCGTTTCTTTCTTTTCACGCTTAATTCGGCAGTAACATATTCAATTTAATTAATTAACTTATTACATTATTGTTTAATGTAATTGGTTAATTTATGAAATTATCGCTTGATCTGATAGTAAATTTCCAGTGAATTAACGGATTTAATTAAATTGCACAAACTTAGGTTATTCACCACAATTGTTTTGCACTATAATTAGATAATTGTTGCGTAATAGTACACGGTTGGTTTGTAGTAAAAATATTTCCTCTTTGCTTTATGCTTCTCACTGCCGTGGATGTGTGTACGCGACAGAGAGAGAGAGAGAGAGAGAGAGAGAGACAGAGAGAGAGAGAGAGAGAGAGAGAGAGAAAGGGGGCAAGAAGAAAAGAATGGATGAAGGCGAGAAGTATGAGGCAGAAAGGGAGGAGAGTTGGCTTTCAGCGATCACAACCCCCGCGGCATCGTAAAATATCGGAAAATTCATTAATGCTCGATCTACGGGGCATAGTTGAATAAATCTCACTCTCGGGCAAGATTTACAGTGGCAGAAGAAAGCGATATGACGGCGTATCGAATATGTGTGGCCGAACGTAAGGAGGAGGACTCCGAATGCTAACTTTTTCGCATTAATATTCAGATTCAATCTCTCGGATAATCCAAGAAAAAAGGAAGAGAGAAAGAGAGAGAGGGAGAGAGAGAAATCGCGGAAAGAGAATCCGTATAATCACGGATCAATTTTACACGGGAAACAGAGAAAATCGCGAATTCGCCAAACGATTTAACTGATATTTGATCTACGTCCGGATTTACAGACCGGGAGAGGCAGCTCTAAGAGAATTAAATATTAATTATCGTTATCTCAAAGGACGGTTATTTGCCTTCCATTAATTTCAACTCAAAGAGACATCATACGAATATCTTACCGAGTTTCGTTTGCTCCAGAGGCAAATCCGCGTAGCCTTTGCAGAATAAATATTTTTTTATGTGCTCCTATTTGCACATCTCGATTCGCAGCGATATTCGCATCCCGGGAGATGCATAGTTATATCGACGGGGTTATTACGAGTTACTTGATCAGCAACAAATGTTCCCGCCGCTCCCCCGTTGTCTCATCTCTTTTATCCAAACGAAAATCTGTCTAACGTCCAGTGTTCCACTGAATTAAACCGCATATTAATTCAACCGTGAGAAAAAGTCAGTTAATTCCAGCGACGAACCAATCATCTCCCGTTTCCACTACCGCGGTGGTAAAACCGAGCTTTCCTGAATCTCGCATTAATGACGGACCGTACGCTCGCGAAGCACATTCGCGAGGAACAAAGAAAGAAGTCTCGGCTTAGGTAAAACCCCAACAAGCGAGAATCACTTGGTACTCGGGCGTAAAGTACGTGTGTATGAATGCATCGTCAATATAATTATACGTAGTTTTGCGGGGCACTGAGCACAAAGTGCTGCGAATGCCCGCCGCCCTCGCATTTCCCCTCCCTTCCCTTTTCGGATAAAGCGCGGTAGAAGAGAAATTGGTCTCGTTGGAACCGTAGAACGACAAGGCGGTACAAAGGCCATGTTGGCTCCGGCGACTTTCTCGAGCACCACTCGTGCGCACGTTTTCCTCTCCGGCGGCACTCAGCCCCAAAGCAGAATTCCTCCGGGAGGAAGGCAGTCATCAGTGCACTTTTTCCCCACAAATTCGATGCGTCTTTGGCAGTAATTCCGCGGACGCGTAACGCGTTTTCTCGCCGCCGCCGTAATGCGTTCGTTTCGCGTCCGGGGCGAAAACGCGAGATTAAAAGATACTTCCAACTAACGTCCTGGAGAAAAGACGTACCAGCGGGTTAAATTTGTTGCCCGAACGCGGGAGAACGGCAATTGTCGCGACGGGCGTTTCCTCGGAAAAATCCCCGGAAGAAGCTCGTAGAATTTGCGAATTCCGACGTCTAAGCACCCGAAGTCCTCGAGATGCAAAAGTGCACGAAGATTTGAGATCTCGCTCGCTGTGCTGAATTGAAGACTCCTAAATCTACCGGACGACCGGGGCTGATAGGGGTGGAAAACGGCCTGCGAAGATCGCGTTTTCAATTTAATATATATATTACTTTTAATTTTGCTGAAAATTAACTCTTATTACTCAGATGGTTAACTACAGTTTTATAAGGGGGAGTATTTCTTTCAGTAAATAATAAACTTATACAGAGGCTCTTTAAAATCGCACTCCGGGAATCCGGTGCTCCGCGGTGCAACTGCCTTGATACATTTTTCTATCTGTCGCAATGACGGCTCGCACTCCGAGTCCCTCTATAAACAACGAAGCCGCCGCAATCGCGGTAATTGCGGTATCTTTAAAACGAGCTTGTTCCGAGGGGTTAATGCCTACCGGCAGGGTAGCGCCGCGGAGATCCAGCGCGGCTTATCTAGTTTATCGGGCCAGATAAGAGAAGCGCTCTCCAAACAGCGATAAAAAGATTATTCTTATATTAGCGGAAGCACGCGGCCGAGGAAGAGATACGTCACATCCTCGCGGAAGATCGTATTATCCGCGCGGACGAATGAATATTAAATCTCGCCCGACCGGCTGAAATTAATCCGGCGAGCGCGCGCGGAATAAGGGAGATATTTTAACACTTCCTCCTCCTTTCCATAGATTCCCCGAAACACGCCGCAATAAATCGCGCACGAGGCCCGGCCGGAATGAACGAGCGCGAGGCGGCGTTTGATTTCAAATCACATTCGTTCGCAGCAGCGCGATATTAAAGAAAAAAAATGTGAAAATCCACGGGCTCATGGCGGACGTATCGCCGCGTGAAACGAGCGAGCTGACACGGCGCAATGGTGCGGTTTTGCGAGCGATATCTCACAGCAGCTACGTCGAAAACCCGGCCGATCAATTCGATTCGGAATTCTTGCAGATATTTCCATACGCTCGTAAATGGCACGGCGACGCGAGTTTAACCCACTCAGGCCGCCGGTATTGTAAAATGGCGAATACGCGCACATACCGTCCGTCCGTCCGTCCGATCGACCAACCAACCAACCGGCCGGCCGGCGAAATGAATATATACGGACGCGACGAATGAATTTATAACGCGCGCGCGAAAGCCGAATCCCACGTGATCGTTCCTTCCACCGTGACGCCGGTCTGTAAATCGATGGCAGCTGTTTTACACAGTTGACCGTGCGGAAAAACTCGTTGCAGAGCCGAATGCACCCGCATAATCGCGAGCCGGCGAGACCGAACGGCCGATCTGATCCCTCTTTTTTTGCCAGATTGGATATTCCGCGTGTCGCGTCCTGTTCCGAGGGAAATCCGAGGAAGTTTCAATTCAACGCCAGAGATATTTTCGCCGTGTCATCGCCGGGATTATCATTCGCCCGCAGCTCGCCCAGGATATGAGGATTATCGTGCGCGCGGATTACGGAAAATCCGAAGACACTCCGGCACTCTGTCTGTCTTTTTATATCGTGCTTCCCATAAAACTCATCGGGGCACCGATTGTCCTGTCGCCGGTAATCCGCTGCAGCTCAAGGGTGATACTGCACTCTTAAGTTAGGTGGAATTGATTAAAAGCTTGATTTGAAAGGGCTCAATTAAATAAGGTAGCCCCTGACAGTGCTATCAGTATTAACCGGATATTTTTTTATATTCGGGTACTCAAATTCGCGGGATATTATTTGGACTAATTTGGATAGCTTATATTCGAGTATTACTCAAACATATTCGGATGTTACCATTGGGGTACCTTAGTAGTAGAGGAAAAGTATCGATATACTACTTTGGTTTCAGATTGTGAAACTTTGTTGGATGTGTCGAATTAAAATTTATGCGTATGGGCGCAAAGCGACAACGCTTCTCTATCAATATATATCGTGGTTTTTGGAAAATTATTATATGTTGTCAAATAATTAAGAAGATGAAGAGAAATGACGTTTTGAAAAGTTGACCCTAAAACTGGCATATCTATGACACCTGCCAGGAAATAGTAAAAAAAAATTTAAATAAAAGCATTAAAATTACATTATTTTCTACTTTTATTATGTATCCTCTCACATGTTATTTTTAATCTTACATATTTCTTATTATTTGGAATAGGATCCGTTGACTTTTCTTTTTGACCATCTTGAGCAAACAAGAATAAGAAAAAATCAGTCATTATCTCAAATATTCTGTAAGATGATATTTTGCAGCAAAGTTTAAATATGTCAGTTTACAGAACAACCTAATCCTAATCTTTCTTGCATGATTCGGTGACAGAAGAGAAAGATTGGCACAAGATCTAAAGTGATCTGAGAAGTTCAAAATTTACGTTATAAAATGGTATCGCTGAATAAATTACTGATCGCTGACACGTTACTTAAAAATGTTCAAGAAGATAGCTCGAGAGAAACTTCGGCGCATCGAAAAATCAACTAACTCTATTAACATAACCAAATGCGCTCGCAAACAGAAATTTCCTCTTCAGCTCCGCCAACACACAGCAGACGAAGTTCACGTAGCATTCGACAGAGTTCGGTAAATTTATAGCCGAGAAACATGGTTACACCGACTTTCCGAAGCTACACATCAATTTTGGTGCCTTTCCTCTACTCAAGTATCGAGGATAATATCGGACACCGGTAGTTCCTAAAAGTAGATTTTCCCTCGAATCAGCTGAAATCGTGAGTCAACTTCGCGCTGAAAACGGATAAGTGAGAGCCAACTCTTGATGAATCCGTGCACGGCAAACTCGATCCTATCTAGGACAGAATTCGCCGTGTCTCATAGATTGAATCTGATACCGGTATCGAAGTCGATAACTCCTTTAATATCACCACCACTGTCACTACCACTGCTACTACTGCTACTGTTACTACTACTATTACTATTGCCACTACTACAACTACTACTACTATTATTAACAATGAACCCCTATTTCTGTGATTACTCGCACTCACTTTCGGCCTGATGAGGAGCATAGATGTTAAGATAGAGACAGTCCTCGCTCTGGTTCGTCAGGTACAGCAAGTGTCTCTCCAAGTACTCGTACCTGCCCGGCTTCACCTCCTCTTGTAGATTTGGCAAGACTTGCGGGCAAACTGGGGCAAATTCCAGCGACTGCCGCACCCCACGCCATGGCTGTGGCGATCGCGGCGGTGAAAATCTGAAGGATCCCACCGGAGGTTCCGCATAAGGGACTCCTAGAGCACACAAGGGCAGATTACTTCGGATACAGGTTGTTAATCGTTCCCCCGGGGTAATACTTAATGAATTCGTCGGCCGACAAGTGTTTATTGCAGGGGTAAATTTGCCGGAAGAAATTAACTTTTCTCTCCCGGCGGTGATTAACTTCGCCGAGAAGAAACGGCTCTGCGGGCCGTACCTCGCTGAAATAATTCCATTCGCAATGAGCGACAATTGGTTACCGCCAATCCCGTCCCGATTTCATCCGAACGCGCCGCGCGCATCGATCCCTTCCCCCCCCCCCCCCTCCTCCGGGCGTCGAATTACAATTAAATTCCATTTCATTTTACAGCTAACGCGATTCGACTTCGATTCTGATTCAATCCGGAGACGCGACTTCGGCTCACAATTCCGATCTCCCCGATTCTATATTCGAGCGACCGGCTCTTTTTTTCTCTTCCGTCATCGATGCGCGCGTTTCAACGCGCTCCCTCGCGTTCACAAGGTTAACACATCTAAGCGAGAACTAGTTCGTCGACCAGCGCGCATTCACTTTGGACGATCACCAAGATCAAGTGATGTAAACTCGGCTTTGAGTATACAAAGCGACGCACACGAATACAGCTCACGCGGTGATACGACTTGACGAACGCACAGCGCGAGTCGAGCAAAGACGGGGAAAGGTAGAGCGAGAGGAGCGCGGAGGCTGAGGAAATATCTGTTCCCGAAATACACGCGCGCACGGGCACGCGCTCCTCGTTTTCGTCGATCCTTTGACGTATAGGGACTCTCAAAGCGCGGATATACAGCTGCCAGGAAACTTTTGCTCACTGACCGAAGCCGAGCTCTCTCTCCCCCTCTCCCTCTACGAATATCGAATACTATCGAGGCACTGTTGTAGTAGGATGTTGCATATGAAACGTCGGCTTTGCGTCAACCAACTTCGCATCTCTAACGGATTAGATGTATTCAATCGATATAAATAGCTTCATTCGATTTCCGCGCATCGCTCCTCCGCGGAAAAG